GTCCATACTCGTGTACATTGCCAGTTTACGTATGTAGATGCTAAGTACATATGGTTCAACTTTAGCATTGGTTCACTGTTAACCACTCATGTACATTGCCAGTTTACGTGGTTAAGAGTGAACCATTGCTGAAGTTGAACCAACATGTACTTAGCATCTACATACTCATGTACATTACCAGTTTACATGGTTAAGAGTGAACCAATGCTAAAGTTGAAGTTTTTCATAGTTCATGTATCACAAAACACAAAAACTGCAGTTTAAATATTTTTTGAAAGGTTTCCTTTGAACCAAAGTAATTACAACATACATTATAATATTAATATCATTGACATATATTGATAGTAATTAAATTTTGAATGTAACACAGGAATTTAAAAAGAGTACCAGGGGCCAAAGGATTAATGTAACCAGCCAATTATTATAATTCAAGACTACAGATTTCCCTTGATGATTGTATAGGTTTTGTTACTTGAAATAAGTTGATTATGACAGTAATAAAAATACATTGGTTACAAAAAATGATCTAAACATATGAGTTTATTATTTTTTGGATTACTTTACTGTAGATATATATATATGTGGTGGTGTAGGTGTTGAAACCTGTCTGTTAGGGTCAGAATTTAAACAAAGACGAAAAATTAAAAGCTATGGTGAGACCATCAGCCCGAGATCATCAATGTTCTTTACATCGTGTTTTGTCCTGAAGCGTAGTATAATAATTTGTTGTAAATTGGACATCAGAAACTAATTACTAAATATTTTTTTTAATTTTTCACAGCAATTTAACAGTAGATTGTCCATGTGGCAAGCAGAACTGTGCTGTCACTTCTTTGGTCTCTCCAAAAGACAAGCAGAATACAGAATGGTATGTTACAGAAGCAGTTTTTAATGTGTGGTCAGATTTCCCAAAACCAAAGCTACCTTTGCATTCTACCCTTTGATTGTTAGTCATATACTGGAGCCCCCCAGTAGCACAGCGGTATGTCTGCGGACTTACAACGCTAGAATCCGGGTTTCGATACCCGTGGTGGGCAGAGCACAGATAGCCCATTGTGTAGCTTTGTGCTTAATTACAAATAAACAATAAACATATACTGGATATTTTGAATCCAAACTTTAGAATAATGATAGAATTCTTTCAGGTATGTGTTAAAGTAATATCTCCCTCAGTAACAATTTAAATATACCAACTTTCTCGTGTAAGAGTTATAGGTTTTCTGGTGGATCCGGAGACGCTCCATATAAATCTTCATAGTTTAACTATTTTTACCTTACAGTGAATGCTCCAGGAATGAGAAATGTCTATTTTTCTGTTCCTCTAGTACCACCTGAAAACAAAATGTAGCTATATGAACAGCGATTCTGTACCACGTGAGAAATAACAGTTTCTAAAATAAATCGACACCTACAACAAATGATACGGGTGTCTCACCTGTTTGTAGTTAGTTCTGTATTCAAAGAGTAATATCGTACAGTCATGTTACTACCCACAATTCAGTCTATATATATATATATTCTGAGAAAGTAATAATTTATTGGCAGTAAAAGTGTCACTAAGCCGAACCTCCTCGGTTGACCCATGAACAAATGGGCATGAAGTCTGTTTAAAACATTAACTTTTTGTTAAAAAACAAGTCTAAAACATAATTTTGTCATTAATAACAAATGCCTATATTTCTAAATACACTGTGAAAAAATATTTTTAACCTTTAAACTGCTCATCAAATATTTTTAATGTACCTTACAGAAATGTAAAAACACAATATAAATGGGCTACTCACATTGTGGTCATGCTTGCATGCTCCTAAAGTCATTTCCACAGCCTGGCCCCTTAGTGTCCAGAACTATGTCTTGCGTGCTTGGAGCATGGAAATTACATATTGCTTGTTTACACTTTTATGATGTTCTAGGTTACAGTGGAATACTATACTTTAGTTTTTTGCACTTTTTTGAGCATTTATGTCCATGCAAACACTGCCCTAAAAAGCGTAAACATAGAGAGAATAAGTTTTACTTACAAATTTACATTTTTCATATGCAATTTACAGTTGATTATACACTATTTACACCTTCATTACTTCAGTTTGCAATGTTTTCATTATTTATTGTTAGAGTATGATAATCCCTAAAACATTCGCCAACACACAGTGGCACTTCACATTCCGTGCACACGTACCAGTGAGCTTTCTCTTCCACTTGTGGAGGACGGTGTGCATGCCGGAGTGAAACTGACATGTTTCCTGGACGCAGTAGCTGGCGAATTTACTACATAGTGACGACTGATCACGTTCATACACAGTGCTAGACATACACAACTGTTTCAATTAAATTTAATATGAGAGTTATGATGTAGATACCGTATTTTTCGGTGTATAAGACGCCCTTTTTTACCCCAAAATTTGATGTCAAAATCTGCTTGCGTCCTATACATCAAAGGTATGAATAATATATATGTGTATATATATATACGATATACACAAGCCATGTGTAAATATATTTAAATATGCGTGCTAAGTTTGTTTCAATTATAACAATAGTAGTTTTTTTTCTTTTAAAAACATAACTATTTATAATGCTCCCTAAATAATAAAAAAATAAATTACAGTGAAAGCAATGAAGATTTTGTAGGTTTTGAACCAAACTAAATAACAGTAAACCTTTTTTTTTATATTACAGTATTTTCTTATTTTGATGTTTTGAGCTCTTTTGTGTTTAGAACAATATATATACTAATTTTTAAAGTATCAAATTAAATTTTTGTTCAATAAAAAATCTTTCAAATGCGACTGCAACTTCTTTTTTTTTTTCCCCAAAACTTTGTCTTCAAAATAAGGGCGCGTCTTATATTCCGAAAAATACGGTAGCTATAAAGTGCATGTGTTAAATTTAGTATTGTTACAAGCGATACTTGTGGCAAGTTTGTTTACATAACTGTTTACGAATCATTGGTTGCGTAGTTCAATTGATGTGAATTAACGTCTGATTACTCGAACTATATGAATTTTTCCTCACTGCTTTAAGTGAGTATTATTACATCATAACATCTTATAGTTTGTAGAAAGTTCTAGGCCTCAGTCGGGCAATATATATATATAGGCAACTAAGTTAGTTTAAGTTAACCCTTTCATCACAGGCTGATACATTTTGTATCACTTTGTCTGGGGAAGGACGTATATGCAAAAAATATATGGTGACTCTGAGTATTCCTCATAAAACCTTTTAAGATTTTGTTAAAGTTATAAGTACAGTTAATCCTTGATTAATAGGCACCGCACCATTAAGAGCAGTGTCTTTAGTCTCATTTTCTATACAGGCACTCGATAAAGCAGGCATTTATCTTGGTATGCCTGTATGGTATACTGTTAAATTCCAAACCTCCCAGGAGGATGACCAATATTCAAACACTTGTGATGTGTATTGGATCTACTCCGAATCGTAATCTGTAATAAACGTTTTCACAGATTCAAAGTGCAATCTTATTACTCTGAGGAATTCTCATTGTAAACACTGTAGGATACATAAGCAATATTGTGTTCTCAGAGCAGGGGTCAAGTCGGTTTATTTCTTTGGTGGATTTGATTAGTCAGGTATGTTATGTTCCGTCCTTATCTCCAGTTTCCTATGTTCCACCCCTGCTCTTCTCGGGGACTAGCCTTTGGGTCATTATTTTAGTGTTTCCATCCTTCCCTGGATATTGGGGTTCATGCGAGTCATTTTGGTGAAGTACTTGCATATGGGGGTCAGTATGCCTTAACCCCCATGTACAGTGGACAATTGTTCTTTCGATTATCCTAGTTTCAACTTCCCTTATTTGGCATCACAGCACAGGTATTACTTCTCCCTTAGTGGGGATCAGACCCCAATAATTTGATTTCCTTTTATGTCTTACTCTGAACACCCTTCTTAGGTCAGGGCTGGTGGGGGGAGAGACTCCTTCAATTTGCCTACGTTTGGAAGTCCTTTCAGTAAGTCTGGTCCTCTACTTTTTTTCGCCCATTGTCTCACAATCCCATTTCCTTCCCTCCTCCATGGGTTCCCATTTTTTGCCTGCCTGATTCATTGCAAGGGCCTTATTTTCCATTGTTCTATGGATGTATGGCTGCTTCTTGCCTCACAAAACTTCTCAGTCCTACATCCTCAGTTTTTTCTGCCGGACACTGTCATGATGGGTTGGTTTATCAAAATGGAGCAATTCTTCCTCACACCTACACAATTTTTGGGTTCATTTCAGGGGTTTTTTCAACTCCCTCCCCCATCTGGCCCTACCTTCTCCACTTCAGTTGTGAGCTATGGAATATTTCATATGCAGCATTTCATCCTCTCCTCCTACTGTGCAAGAGGTTCTCTCTCTTTTGGGGACATGGGTTTATCTCAAAGCACTCATTCCTCTTGGTTGTGCCCTCATTCATCCTCGTCAGTGGGTTTTGATAGACCAATGGAGCCTTGTTCAGAATCCTTCTCCCTCCCTTACAGACCAAATTCGACTGGTTGGATCGGAACAATATTACCCTGGGTGTTCCTCTTCCTTCTCCTCATCCAGAATGTCACCCTTTATGGATGCTTCATTTTCTGATTGGGAGGTGTTTTCCAACACCTAGGAGGTTTCAGGACAATGGTGTCTTTCCAAGTCCTCTCTCCATATCAATCTTGGAAGTTCTTACTGTTCATAGTGCTTTCCTTCACTTCCTACAGGCTCCTAAGGACCGGTTGATGATGGTTCACTTCAACGTTTCTATTGTAGTCTCGTACATAACTGGGCAAGGTTTCCTCGAATTGTATCTTCTATGTTGGGCCCATTCCCAACACTTTGGTGGCATGTCATAATCCGGGTGCCCTGAATCTGGACACAGATTGGTTATCCCATCCGAACAGTATTCTCCCTGCAGCTAAGTCTTTGGATCTACCCATTTTTCAGGTTTTGTGTGCTCTGTGGGGTGTCCCAGATTTGGACTTTTTTGCCATTTTTCTCAATACACCACTTCCCCGATTTTGAGTCTCCTGTTCCCTATCCTCTGGTGGGAGGAGTCAATGCTGTCAGTCGGTAC